CCCCCCCCCCCCCCAAAAAAAAAAGGTCTTTTGTACTGTATGTGGCATTCTCGCGTTCAAATCAAGGCCCTTCGTGAAGAGATTTGCACACATGTGTCTGTCTGCGGTGTTCCATGTGCCATAACCTGGGGTATCGAATTCGGTCCCTCAGCAACGAAGACAAAACAAAAGTCGCGAACACTTCTTCCGTGTGGCCTTGTCTGGTGCCATGATGACAGACAAATTAATGTTATCGTGGGAGTGTATTTGAATAGCTTCTTCGAGCGCACCAATCGAGGGGCGTGTTTGCTTCAGCAAGAAAAAAGTTGTGTAGAGGGGTCGTGATGTACATGTACGTACGTGACGAATAAAAAGGAATGGTGCACAGGGGGACAATTTTTGCACTGATGTGTCCGGTGTCTGGTGCCTGGTGTCTGGTGTCTGTGCGCCGACAAATACACACGAGAGTGGAGCCTGTTTTACCATCCAGGAACCAGATTGCAACCTGAAACTTGTGCACAACAAGTAGCATTTTGCGCAACCTGTCCTGACTGCTGCATTTGCAGTCCGTGCTCGGTGCGACGAGACAGCGCAGCATCTGCACTGCAATTGAAGTACGGAACCACGCGTCCCCGCACAAATGCCAGACAGGGGTGATTTTTTGTTGTTCCGCCGGTGTGCTGCTGCTGTTGCAAGACATACACTACACGGAGACAGGGAACATTTATAAGGGGGGCAGGAGACACCACACATCACCGGGAGAGCGAGGGGGAGGGTGTGCCCTACTATTCTGCTGTCAGCTATCGGCGGAGGATGCTGGAGGAGAGAAGAAGAAGCTATGCGCTGTTGTGTTAGGGTTAGGGCTAGGGTTAGTCGTGCGAGCGGCAGCGTTTTAGTCACCAGCATGAGAAAGTATGAAAGTTACGCACTAACGGCCACGCTGCTAGAAACCACCATTGACGGTGCATGCCCTGCTGTAAACCCCTCAATACTCGTATGCGAGGGCCAACGGTGCCATCTGTGCCTTCCGTGTGCTATTAGTCTGGTCACAAATCACACGCTTTTGGAGTTGCCTGTAGATGAAAGCTCGAACCAAAGAGAGGAACAGAGACTTTATTTGCTATACATACGCCGCTATCTAGAAAGCTCACTAAATACACTCGTCTCCCCTTATCTCTAGCTCATGATGATGAATACCACCCCCCATCTCTGCAAATCACACTGACGCCCCACAACCCAATACTTCCGCTGGCAACGCACGAGCCTTCTGCGTGTACTTTATTATTTTTCCCACAAACAGGCTCCGGCAGTATTTCACCTCACCCTCTTGCATCATCGCTGTATGCTCTTATCGGGGCACTCATAAAATAGCAGCACAGGCGGGCAGGCTGGGCACATGCATGGGCGCTATGAAATGCGAAGGTGCAGGTGTCATCGTAAAATAACTGAGTGATGGTGAATGCGTCGATCAAAATCTCACCGATGCCTGCATCATCTTCGTTTCGAAAATCTGTCCCGTCTCCGCTGTCTCCGCCGAACAGGCCGTCCCAGGTATCGGATCCATCTTGTCCCCCTCGATCCACCGACTCGGAATGCTCATTCACGTCGTTTGGGAGAAGCGACAGCGGGTGTGGTGGGGAAGCTGAACACTTGCCTATGTGCCTCGTTCCGTCTCGCTGGCGAGTAAATCTTTTAGCGCAGTCGGTGCAAACAAACCCGCCAACATAAATATCCAATTTTGGAGGCATCAACGTATCTTCCACTACGCCGCCCGCTTGCGCTGACGCGGTGATGACACGCACCACGCCGACCTACCTGCTGGGCACTCGGCTGAGGGGGGCTCAGAGCAGCATTCTCCTGGGGGGGGCGGGGGGCGGACTACTTGCTTCGACCCCCTTCTGTATTGACTGCCTGCTGAGAGGGCGTGGCTCGCGAGCGACCTCCTCGTGGGCAGGCATCGCTCGATCTTTGGCGACAGGAGAGGGGCGACTCGTGGAGGGATAGGTGGACACGCGGGGGCGTTTCATCAACCTTTGTTCCCCTGATGAACGCCTTCTGCGGGAGTTCTCCGCGCCACGCGCCAGCGCCTAGCTACCAGCGCCACACGTCCAACCACAATTTTTTCCATCCTCTGTCCCGTCCTTTCCTTCGTTCACCTTCATCATGTCCCATAACCAGCACCGTCTCACTCCTTCGTCGTCCAACTCGCAAAGGAGGCCCGCCAGCAACAGCTCTTCTTCTGGGGGGGGGTCGTCCTCCAGCGGCGGTTCGAGCGGTTCTTCCAGCAATAAGCGCCGCCACACCAACGGGTCCGGCATCGGCAAGAACAGATCCCGGCATGCGGGTATCTTCGACGTCATGGGAGAGGGGGACAACAACGTCGACCTCCGACAGGCCGTCGCGGATTTAGTGGAGGTGAGACCCTATGTGTTGGAGCACACATCTCGCACATTGTCTCCGATGACTGTACAACAGTTAGTCAAGTGCATGTCGTGCTCTTGTCCCAGTAGCATGCGTGGCTTGCTGCAGGTCACACGCTGAACTGTTCGTCAGCCAGACCTGGAGTCTGAAACCCCGACCTTCTCGTCCTGCTGTGGCCCACCGATCCCCTGATGCATGTAGCATGATGTGCTACTGCCAGCCTTTCCTGTGTTCATTCTCCTATCTTAACCGCTGGCATCTGCGCCTCCTGTCCACACAACCCTTGTTGGAAAAAGGCCCGAGAGACTCATATTCGTAAAAGCAACGATTCAAATTCCAAGGTAGCAGCGGAAGTAGCATACACAGCTGATGTGTATATGCATACAACACCTGCGGAGAATGTTAGATTTTTGATCCGTATAGTGTGACACCTGTTGTGCATTGTTGTCACCTGTTTGCCTGCCGATGCACGCGCGCGGCGGGGGGGGGGAGGTGCAAGCACGGCTCCACATTTTAGTCGCCGACACTTCTCTCCTCTCCGTATTTCTCATCGCACAAGCCTCTGCTCGGCGACATTCCGGTTCTCACGCGATCAACAGGACCACTTCGACCCTAAGTAGCAGTGCACAACCTGCAAGTACCTCGTTATTGGTTTGCTGTTGCATGGCGTATCAGCCGCAAATTCCATTCTACACCTACAAGCATTCTCAAGAGCCTCGTTCCTGATGCTCTTCTGCGTGGTGGGCGATGACCCTCAAGCAGCCGGACTTTCGCCCTTTCACCTCGACGACGTTTCCACTGCGTCTCATCCATTTATCTGCCGCGCCGTGGTCGTGAAACGAAGTACGTCGGAAACCTTGCCTACTGCTGTTCATAGCATGACTGTGGAGGCGATACGCTGTGTCATGTACTGCTATGTAACACCTGCGTGTTGTGTGCCTCTCCTGGGCCCCTCTGACTTGCTGTACACAATCCCCAAGCCGCGGGTCCCTTGTTCGTAAAACTGCTCCTGTGCATGCATACTTAGTACACATAGCATACAGCAGTAGTACTGCTAAAGTTTGGCTGATTGGCTTCAGCAACAGTTTCCACACTGGAGCCATGTCAGCCTTGGGCCCTCAGGACTGTACAGAGTCTCCCCAGTGAGCGGACGTGATTTATTGTTGACCCATGACCTGGCACTGACTGCCTACTAGGGTTTATCTTTACCATTCTGTTACACAGAAAGCTTTTTTGTCGCATTTTCCGTTCTCTACTGCCTTGACACTTGAGACCGCTCCATGTCTCTCGCCCCCCTCCCTTCGAGCTTATCCACCGGACGGGGAAGGTATGACCTACAATATAAACTAGCATGCGAGTACCGCGGCTTACTTCGTGCGTGGGACGCAGGTCAATCGGCCTCCCCCCCTTCATCCACAGCACACGCATCTGACATCCACGTGCCTGCCTCGACGTGTCTGCTTGTTGTCAAACTCGCGGAAGGCGACATCGAAGCAAGCAGTTGCCTCTTGTATCCCTGAGGCCGCCGACGCCATGTTGGACGCCATGCACGTCATGGAGTGGTGACCGGCGCTACGTTCGGCAGTGCTTTGCCGCCTGGCCAAAGCCGAAGGCCTGATGGTGAGAGACTACACGTCAAAGCATCCAACCAATCCGAAGCGTTTGACGGAGAAAGGAGCCACAAGCAATTTACGGTCCTGAGACGTGTACATCTCTAGGTGGTTGGACGAGGGTATCTTCGAACGTAGATGTCGGATACGAAAGCCCCCCGCACGTGGGCGTCGGGAATTCATTTCCAAACCTTTGATTGAATCACCGTACACACACAAGCCACTCTCAGGTTGGAAGTTCGTGATCCCTGCGCGTTCGATTCATATCTCTCGACGAAATATTTGACAGCTTTGTCGGAGTTACCCGCGACCAAGAGTTTGTATTGTACACAAGCGTGCACCTACAGATTTTATTGCTGT